TGACAAGTGGTACCGTCGTAAAGGTTGATTCTACAAGTAATTGGAAACTGTGCTGTTGTTAGCTGTCATCTAGTGAGTCGTAGGTCATAGCAACGTGTTGTACAATGGAACAAGTCTCTGCCCGCCCTGCACTAGCGTCACAGGCTTTGCTACACTTGAGCCCATTGTTCCAGCTCTGAGGTCAGCTCTTATCATTGAAGGTTATGCTCTTTTTCACTGACTTTACCAAGCGTGATGTACCTCCTGATAACATGTCCAAAGTATGTGAAACAAAGTCTTGTCCTGCTTCTCAGGGGCATTTTGGCTGCACTTCTGATTTAGATTTGTTTTTTTTTTTCTTCTGGCAGCTCACAGTATAGTCAATATTCCTCCCCAACAACGTAATTCAATGGGGTCAAGTCTTTGTAGGTCTTACTTTTTCATTGTCCAGATTTTTTATGCATGTGAGGTGATTGAAAATACCATGGCTTCAGTCAGGTTCACCTTAGCCTTCGAAGTGATAGTGTTGTTGCTGTTATGTACTGTTGTGTTGGAACCAAGTCATAGCTCCCCCTTCAGTGGGAGGCAATATGATTGCACAGGAGATTAACTGTCTTTCACCTGTGGAGCCACTGGTAGATTCGAACCGCATGCCTTCGGGTTGGCAGCACAGCTCCTTACCTCTAGATCGTCATGTTTCCCTTTACAGTGATAGTATAGCTAAAACTTTATCAACGAATTTTTCATACATTACAATGATCATCTTGCACTTTGATTGGATTATTTTTAAACTCATGTATGATTTTGTAACATTGTACATGACCATTTGGTAACTAGTTGTTCACTGAATTATGCAAATATTCAAAACATTCACATATTTCTCCAATAAAAAAAAATAAAAATAGTGTTTTTTAGTGTTCCCAGAAATTCATCAGAAAAGACTTCATGTGTTGGCAAGCTGTCAAGCTTATAGTACCTGATATAGTTTTTCCAAAGTTCTTATTTTCTGTCAAAAGCTAGAATTTTATCATTGGCAGCAAATACCATAGGTTGTTTTCCTCCAAATGGCAAGCTCATTTCATTCACTTAAAAAAAATAGCTTCCAAATAGCCAAGTGCAAATAATCCTGTCAAGTAAAAATGGTGCTCTGTGAGGGGAAAACAAAGTAGCTAGTGCAGTTTGCAAAATCACAAAAGTGCTTTTCCTCAAGACAACCATCATCCTTCACTCTGTAGCTGTGGTGCTTCATGTGTCATAAAACAAATTTAAAAACAACAACAATACTAGTTGTACGAAGACAAAAGCAGTTACATAAACACCATCAGTGCAAATCTCAACAAAATAGGAGGGGAGAAAGAAGATAAAGCAAATAAAGTCATAAGAGTCTTATAAAAATATTTTGACCTGCTGTTGTGTGTTATGTGCTATGTACCATCAAGTATGAACCAACTTATAGTTGATCCTCCACTGGGTTTTCAGAGACTATAAATGGCAGAGGAGTTTGCCCATCTTTCTCCTGGATTTGAATTGCATGCCTCTGGGCTAGCAGTGCAACTCCTTACCATTAAGCTACCACAGGGCCCCTTGACCTGGTGGATGTCCTTAAAAGAACTCAATCAAAATAAAAAAAGTCATTGCTGGGGAGTGGGAACTGTCTAAGCTGTGCATTTTCAGAGGCTGTAAATCTCACAGAAGGAGAACACTCATCTTTCTCCTTCAGAGCAGCTTGTGGATTCGAACAACAAAAGAGAGGCTGCCTTTTGGTGAACAGCCCAACTCCCTACTAACTATGCCACCAAAGAGTGCTTCAGACTTCCCAGATTACACTTTGAGAATCCATGTGTAAATAGACAACATATGGTCACTATCCTCTTTGCTTCGGTAATAACCGGCCAACTGAAGAAAGTTTGCTCAAGACAGACCACCACCACTACCCCCCCCACCAAGTCTGTGGAATGCTGAGATCTTTAGTTTTGGTTATTTCTGGACAAGTTTATGTGAACCAAGATTTCTGTCCAGGTGGCATGAAGACATCAAAGTAATTTTTCTCCCTAATAAATGACTTGAAATTTTAGTATTACATTTGTATTTTTACTTAACCATCCTTCACAAAAGACTAAATTTTGACAGGTTTTTGTTGTTGTTGTTGTTGTGTACCATTGAGTAGGAACCAATCAATAGCTGACCCTTCAATGGTTTTTCAGAGGGATCCAAATCACAGAGGAGGAGATTGCTCATCCTTCTTCAGAGTAGCTGGTAGATTTGAACCACATGCCTTCGAGATTGCAGTGCAGTTTCTCACTAAGAAGCTACCACTGCTCCCTACTAAAGATACTTGTCCTTCACCACAAAGGACCCAGTACACATCTTGCTCTGGTCTTCTTTGCATTGTTTCTATTAGAGATAGTTTGCCTCGCCCCTCTTTTCCTTCTAGAGTTAAAGACCAGGCAGTGTTCTGAAGGTCATTTTGAGTAAAGAATTGTCTTGAAAGATTTCCCCCCCCTTTTTTTAAAAAAGAGTGATGTGGCTTAGTCAAGGTAAATGGGACAAAATATGAACATCTCCTGCTGGCTACACCTGCCTGAAAGTACATTTCTCTTCACCACTCAATTTCTATATTCATGTATACATCTGAGTTCCCTGAATGAATAATAAATGGCTGCAGAAAAGTAGATCCCTTCCACATCTTTAACACACAAAAGGGAGGGTCCTTTAATCAGTAGAAAACCACAGCTACTCTTATCTCCCTTTTCTTTGTTAGGAAATGACTTTCAATGTAGTTTAGACAAGGTAATCATAAAGCTAATTATCTTTTTCCTGAAGGAAGAAGTAAAGTAAATAAGAGAAGGAAAAGGTTTACCAGTCACATTGAGTGGGTTCCAGGTAATGTTATCTACATTCCATAGTCAGGAATTTTCGGTTTAATGTGTGTGAATTTAAGCTCCAACTGCCATTGTTTCCTTAAAGCAGTGGGGCTCATTGGATCTTTCTGGTCACTTATGTCTGCAGAAATTGGTTTTTATAGTATAGCAGCAGATGCCAGAATTCCCTTACCTCCTTTCTCATCCACCCTTGCAAGTTGGAGTCTTTAAGAGGTGAGGAAAGCTTTGCTATTTAAAAGAACAAATCTGTAAGAAATCTCTCTATTCCACTACTTAGCCTGACACACTCTGTGAGAAAGCCACTATGAGGCATCTTAATTCTTTAGTTTTCCTGTCCTTTCAGGCTTGTTTCAGCTTTCTCATGGTTTAAAACAAATTCACAGAAACCAAATAGTCAGTGCCAAATAATTGCAGGCATTCCGTGTTCAGCATGCTCGACCATCACTGAGCTAACCCTGAGCTATTAAAAACAAGACTGTTTCTTCCTTATTGACTTTCCGAGAATCAGGGGGTCAGTTGGAACTCCCTGGTTTGTTGCTTTGGAAATAATGTAGTCAGTGTGGTCGTGCTGTAGACGCTGGAGTTTTGTTTAAAAATCTGTTTCTGGTGAGTTTGTCTCTCACTGTTGAACACAAAGCAGAGTGAAGTGTCTATGAAGCACTCATAACACTTAAAATAATAGGAAGGTGTGTGTTTGTGTAAAGCACAATGTGTGTGGCAGGATAAACGGTGCACAAGCATTCTTGTCATCCTCTAGAATTGAAGTCAGGCTGTTAAGCATTAGACAGTGGCCCTTTCCTCTAGCTATACCGTGCTTACATTTAATAAATTAATTCACTCACACTGTCTTTTTAATCTTATTTATCTGATGCCAATTTATTTTTGCACATGAAAATATCTCTCCTCCGGTGTGTGGGGACAATGACATAGGCTCTTACCTAATTAATTTCAAGACAGCTTAAATTCCCATATAGATCTTCTCTCGCACACAAAATAAAGATCTCGCCCTTGCACTCACCCCGCCCCAAATGAGCCCTGTGTTGTCTTTCAGACGTCCAGAAGGAAAGCATTCCTCAGGTTACTGTTCTCAAATAACAGAGGTGGTTTTCCAGCGCTTTCAAAAGTCTCCTCCTGTGAAGCTTTGCGTGGTTTTTTGGGTTTGTTTAAGGGGTTTTGGTTTTGTTTCTTTTTTTAGTTCTTCCTTATGGGTTTCATTATATTTATTTTGGTTTTATATGTGAGAGTGCAACTGTTCACCTTCAGCGTCAGAGCCGATCTATCACTTTGCTTTGCAGGTTTAGCTGCGCTGCGGCAAAGCCAAGCCTGGGTGCTGGCGGCGGCGCGCGGTGCTTCCCAGTAGTGAGGCTGATGACTGACAGCCAGAGGAGGGCTCTGTTCTCGGTGGCGCCGCCGCGCGAGCCGCCTGAGCAGGAAGGTGCATGAGGCGCGCAGCAGGCGCGGGGTGCGCCGAGCCACCTGATTAGGAAGGCGCGGGCTGCGCGCACCCAGCGAGGCTCATCAGGCGGGGGCTGCACCGAGGGGAGGGACCAAGGAGGCACCGCTTCCCCTGGTGATTGACAGGCCAGGTTAGGAGCTTTTCCGAGGCTGGGAAAAGGAGGTCTTCCTGGTCACTTCCTATGAAGTCGCTGTCAGCAGAAAGGACTTTTTCTGGATAGTGAGTGGCATAATGCAGAGGACAAATGACAGCTTTGGTTTCATTCAGCTTGCTAAGTACTCAGTATTGCGTGCAGGTGAGTTGATGCTCGCTGTCCACATGCAAACAACCATCTCCAGCGCACTGGGAAGGTTCACTGTTCTCTTTTAACACCATTGTTAGTTTGGTTGGTTGGAGATGTTTAAAGTACTATTTGCAATGTGCACCCTACTCACAGCTTTATTCATTCATTGTTACTTGGAACTGATTATGAAATATGAAATAAAGATAGTCGAGTTAGTTGGTAGCAGTTCTAAATGTTGCTTCCTTTTGCTTCTTCTATGCAGCAAGAAAGGGAAATATACATAAATCTAAATCTGCTGTTTCAGGAAACTGCTTCAGATCGAAAGCCTGTTTCAAACTCCGTGACTGATACATCTAATGTGTTGTGGTTTTGTTTTGTTTTGTTTTTCTTCCCCTTTCAGGACCCTCACCTGCAGATATTCTGAACACCTCTGAATGTAGAAACTGAGAATTCAACCAGGAAACCTAACTCAAGGTATTAACTCTTGTCAGAAAAGTCTTCTTACATGTGAAATCTGCATTGGGAATCCTATTTTGGCAGTAGATTGAAATAGAAAAAGTTGGAGTGAGAAAAAAGGACAAAGCGAATGTGCAGAATAATCTAGTATATACAAATACTCCCCAATGCCTGGGAGGATTTGCTGCTTCTGACTCATGGGCAGCCCGTTTTCTGCCAGTTTAGCTGCCAGTTGGGACTTACTTGTAGCACTCTTTCTGCAGCTTTGTTTCTGTACTTGAACTTATTTGAGTTTCTCCCTCTCTGTTTCCCTACGCCCAGACCTTCAGAGACTAAGGAGCCTGGGACATCGTGTCAGTTGTGACATTGGACCAAATACAATGAAGTATTCTTGCTGTGCTCTGGTCTTGATTGTCCTGGGCACAGAACTGCTGGGAAGCCTGTGTTTGACTGTCAGATCCCCGAGGTTCCGAGGGCGGATCCAGCCGGAACGGAAGAATATTCGACCCAACATTATCCTCGTGCTGACGGACGATCAGGATGTGGAGCTGGGTGAGCTGTGAATTCTTCACTTGATAGTCTCTTTTGTTCCAGTCACTGTGCCTCAGTCTTAGAGATGATAGGAAAAGAGCATTCTTATTTCTTGAACGTAATTATAGTATTTTAGTCAACAGCCTAGCTTATAAAGTAAACTTGTATTATGTATAGGGCATTTTCTTTGTGTTTCACCAATACTTTGGGGATCTTAAGTTTTTCAGTTGTCCTTGGAGACGCCTAGGAGAGTAGGAGGGTAAAGAGATGAGTAAACTTAAATCCTAGAAGTCAAGAATTTGATTATGTGCTTTAATGGAAATGTAAGGAGAAAGAGAATTATTTCAATGTGAGATTAGGACTGAGATTCTATACCATATATATGAAGTCAGATACTCTGAGGAATTTTTAGTGGTTGTTAGGATTCGTGAAAGTTACTTACGCCTTCTTCTAGTAATTGCTCAGTAATTGGAAAAAATAGCATATTTATTATATTAATCTTTTTACTACTAGCTCATCCAATATCTTCTCAGCTCTGATGCATTTCTGAAGAATTAGCTCACTTGGGTTCATTGAAAAGAATTTTACTGGCAAAATGTGGCATGTTTTGGTCTGCTAACCACAAGGTCAGGGGTTTGAATCAGCCAGTTGCCTCCAGGGAAATGAATGAGGCAGTCTTCTCCCCTAAAAATTTATAGCTTCAGAAACCTAAAGGAGAGTCACCATGAGTTGGAATCAGTGAGTTTGGGTTTGGGGGAGAGGGTTGGGTTCATTCTAGAGCACTTGGAGGTCAGTGAAAAATCTGTTGGATCTTAGGTAACTACTGGTTCTCATCTGCTGACCTTTAATGGACCATCTCTAAGGCCTTAATCATTGCCTAAGGTCTAGCTCTTTCAGGGATCTTCTCTATCATAACAGATAAAACACTTGCCCTTCCACATTTTCACCACCCCTCCACATTTCTATTTGGGTCCCAGATCCCTGGGTTTACAGACATTGCCCATCTAAGTTTCTAATGTCCATGAACTTAACCATCCATGATGACTTTAAGCTCATTGCTAAGAGAGTGCCCTGGGCTTCTTTATCTCATGCCTCTGACTTATCTCACTCCTCTGACTGGATTTCATGAGGATAAAGCCTTCCATGGAGGGAGGTCTGGTACCCTAGTGGTAAGAATCTGTGCTGCTATCCCAAAGGCACATGGTTCAAACTCACTGGCTCTCCACCTGAGAAGGATGGGCAGTCTCCTCCCATGCAATTTACTGCCTTTCAAAACCCACGGGAGGGTCAGGTATGGTTTGGTTCCTACTTGATGGCAAAGAGCAACATGCTGGGACTAGTTCTGCAGAGAAGGGAACTTTGGTTTCCAGATTTAAACCAAACCATGGCATTTCAACAAAGAGGACTCCTTGGTTTCAGCTGGAAGGAAATGCTCTGAAAGTCACTAGGAGGGATTAGTGTAAAGTTTGTTTGCAGAGTCCACTTCTCATTTTATTTTGAAACATAAGTATTGATTTTTTCCAAGTGACATACCAAAATGAAATCTTTTGGATATGACTTTTTTATGTATGTGGCTAATAGTTTTAATATCTTTGTGTACTTACAGAGTGATTAAAAAGGTGGCAAACACATTTGATCTCACCTTCTATAACATCACTCACATCCATCCCTTTCCCTGCAACCAAGACCTTTAGGACCTTCTTATCCCTCTCAGTTCTACTGTCATCAGGGGTCCACTTCTCCCCTCCCTTCCTCTCCTGTCCTGGCCTCTGTTGCCTGTTCACTCGGTTGCCAGAGTTCTATTTTAAGTATCTGATCAAAACACTTCTCTGTTTAAAATTGGATTCCCTTTGATGCCGGGATTATCCTCTCTTCAGGCAAATGAACTCTGCACCTTGTTGCCCCTCTGCATCTCAGTAGGGCCCTGTCTCTTTCCCCCACAGCCCCGATGCTTTATGGAAGGTATCCCCAATCCTCAAGGTGTTAGGGGCTTCATCTCCCTCACCCTTGTTTCATACCTTGCACACCTCACCTCCTATGCCTTCTTCCCCTTTCTCCTCCCGGAGCATGCTCTCCTTCATGACTGGTACAGATCTCTCTCACCTGAAGGTTGTTCCTTCCTCAAAATCAACCTCCCCACCAGTGGCATGACTGGAACTTTTCTTTGCATCATCTCCTAACCCTGAGTCTATTTCCAGCATAACTTTCACTTCCAAAGTGGTCTCTTCTATTTTTGTCTAAGAGCAACTAGCAGGACAGTATTTATGTTGCAATCCTTGGTGCTCAAGCTAGTCAACAACTATTGTTGTTAGGTGCCATCAAGTTAAATATGATTCATAGTGACTTTATAAACAATAGATTAATAGGCAACATCATGACAGATGGAGAAAAGATTGAAACTGTCAACCACTTCATCTCACTGGGATCCACAATCAACATTCTTGGTACCAGCAATCAAGAAAATAGGAGATATATTGCACTTGGAAAATCTGTAGTTAAGGACCTCTCCAAATTATTGAGGAGTAATGATGCCATTTTGAGGACTAAGGTGCATCTGATTTAGGCCATGGTATTTCCAATCCCTTGCTATGGATCTGAGAGCTGGACAATGAGTAAGGATGACAGAAAAAGAATTGACACTTTGAGCTGTAGTGTTGGAGAAGAGTACTGAACATCCCATGGACAGCCAAGAGAACAAACAAATAAGTCTTGGAGAGGGTGTAGCCAGAGTGCTCTTTGGAGACAAAGATGATAAAGCTTCACCTCACATACTTCGGGCATGTTGCTAGGTGAGGCTATTCCTTGGAGAGGGACATGATGCTGGGAAAGGTGGAGGATCAGCGACGGAGAGGAAGACCCTCAACCAGGTAGACTGGCACGGTGACTACTGCAGTGGGCTCTAGTGTGTCAGGAAGTGTGAGGATAGGACAGGGTTCTGATCTATTGTATATGGTCACTATGGATCACACTTGACTTGACTTGACCTACCCATTACCCTCTATTAGTTTCCATTCAAACTCTTTTCTCCTAGTGGGCAGATTTGAACCTCCAGTCTTGCAGATAGCAGCCCAGCACTTAGCCACAAGGGTACCTCATAATAATGTATAACTCAAGTCAGGTTTCTGAGGCAGTAAATGGCAATGAGAAGAGACCGCTCCTTTTTCCCATTTGAACTGTAGAAGAAGACACACAGTCTTTGGTTTAGCAGTGCTGCTCCCTGCAGGCCACATGAAAGCTCTCTCTATTCATTATACTCACTGCCATTGAGTCAGAACTGACTCATCTGGCTCTCCAATGGGTTTTTAAAGGCTGTAGATTGCAGGGGAGGAGACTGCCCACCTTTCTCTCTCAGAGGCGCTGGAGGATCTGAATCACCAGAGAGATAGCGCCTTTGGGTTAGCAATGCAATTCCGCATGGAACTAGGGCACCAGGGTTCCCTAATATTACTCACTCGCTTTTTGACATCAAGTTGTAACTGACTCACCTGGTTGGCAGAGCAAGACGACAATGAAGCAATGGAACAACCAGCATGGGAATTATGAGACTCGCTGTACAATTCACTGATTGTGAAGATTGTCCCTAGTATCACTGAGCAACTTGTATAGGAATTGAATGAGAGCCCAAACTGCTGGGAAAGCCTTCACCAAAAGCATGATAAAATATTATTTTTAAAACAAAAATGTATATAGAAAAGAAAATATGAACTCAAGGTTCCGTTCTCAACAGAGAAGTTACATTCTGGCAATAGTTACTGCTAAGCAGAGACTTTATCCTTTTCCAAGGCAGCCTTTTATAATCATGTTTTCAGAGTCCTTTTTGAATCCCACTGCTCTCAACTATGGTTGAGTTTTTATTTAAATGTAGTTATGTTTGCCAAATGCTCTGGAAAGTCTTTGCTTATGCCATATATATATATATTATTTTTTTTTTAATTTACCCCTGAAATAACTGCAGACAACTTCCACTGTGCTTCCAGTATAAAACCCTCGTGACACAGTGGCTGAAGTGCTTAGTGACAAACAGAAAGATTGGGGTTGTTTAAACCCACCAGCCTCTATGTGAATGAGTTATGTGGTAGTCTGCTTCCGTGAGGATTTTTAGCTGGGGAAGCCCTCCAGATGATTTTGCTCTGTCTAATAAAGGCACACTATGAGCTGGATTCAGTGCAATGGCAGTTGAGAATGGTGGCGGTGAACACCTTGAGGAAGATACAACATATTTAGAAAAGGCCAAAAAGAACAATTATAAGTAATATTATACCGGAGAAAAATGAGCAGTCCCCTCCTGAGCTCTGGTGACCTAGTCTGTAGGGAAATGCACTGCTAGCCCAAAGGCCATACCTCTGATGGTTCAAATCTACCAGAGTCTGTGAGACAGAAAGATGGGCAATCTCCTCCTGTGCTCTTTATATACAGCCTGGGACACTCAGTGGTACGTCAAGTAAGCTATGACTCAGCTTCAACTTAAAGACCATGAGTGAGGGAGTCTAGTGGAAAGAATAAAACAATTCTCCTTGTCTAAGAAGACAAAGACTGAGAAGGACTTTAATCCAAGTTATGGAATCAAAGTGCTGCAACCTTGCATATGTGTATCACTTAATTAACAATTTCAACTTAAGGACCATGGGTAAGTGAGTCTAGTGGAATTCTTTTCCTATGTGAAAAGAATAAAACAATTCTCTTTGTCTAAGAAGACAAAGACTGAAAAGAACTTTAATCCAAGTTATGGAATCAAAGTGCTAGAACACTCCCCCACCCCGAGAATATTTATTTATATTGTTGTGATTTATTTGTCATCCCAGCTACTGGTCTGAGTAAGACAATGGCCATTATTCCAGAAGGCAAAGTAATCTGCAGAAAAATGAAATAATCCTTCTGGATTTACATTTCTCACACCCTAAGATGCTGTTCAGTTATGCCTATATCTGAAAAGAGTTTTGGCTTTTATCCTATGCTGGTGAGTAGAATGGAAATTCTGATGGCCTGATGAGTAAGGAGTTGCACTGTGAACCCTAAAGCAG